TGCAGCCGCGGCATCGTGCCTGCCGGGTGCGACCTCGGAGCCGCTGGCTGGACAGCCTGGGGGTGACACGGGTCCCCCAACACCGGGTCCCAGCGGCTCCGCCCCGGAGAGCTGCGCGCGCGGCCTTCCCAGGCCTCAGCCCTTTGTGACGCTGCCCCGGGCGACAACTCAGGCTATCTGTGGACCGGGAACGGTCTGCTTACCTGGCTTCTGTTCGCATCCCCTCTAGCTGGCTACGGTCTGGATCTTGGAGGGAAGTAAAGCTTAGGGGCACAGCTGGAGTTAGAGCGTCTGTTGGAGTCTTAAAGTCCCTTTACTTTCCCTTCCAGCTCTAGGACCACGGGCCACCCTAAACTCATCCTTCTGTCTTTTCCGGGATTGCCTTTGGCAACGGGGCCCACCATCTCCTCCCTCTCCCGTTCCCGGTTCAACATCCTGTAAGCTGCGGAATTGCAATCATAGCCTAAGCAATGTAGCAATTGGGCGGTCCAGCGGCTCTTCACCGAGACTGGAGAGAAGCTCGGTAGGAAGGCTTTTGCATCAGCCCCGGGGCCTGTGTTTATGAGCTTCCCCCCGGTATTGGATGCTGCTCCCTTTACTGTCTCGTGACGAGCACTGCAAGATGACTCGGAGGATCTGGCCGTGAAGAATACTCTTAAATACAGGAAAAAGAAAAAAAAAAAAATCAACAGCCTGCAGCTGGTCTGATAAGATTGGTGTGTCCGAAGCCATCCACACATATAGTACATAGCTGCTCCCCAGGTTGCCGCTGCTGCTTGGTATTAACCAGTCTGGAGGGCTAAGGAGAGCACTGAACAGTAGTGACTTGGGGATTTTAGCTGCAGGTGATGTTATATGGTCTGGTAAGAATAGAATTGTCTCTTGGTTTGCACTGACCATCAGTAGATTATGACGTGTGTTTACATCTTTATAGTCTGAATAGGAGAGACCTCTCCTTTTTCTTTAGACACCTTCTTGGTAAATAACTTAGCATTTAGCTAAGAAAGAAAACGGGTTCCTAAAATATAAAGAGATAGTTTTATTTGGGTCAAAAGAAAAACATGTCTTGCACTCTCCAGAAGTTTGGTGGCGGTCTTACAGTTCTTTGATATGTGCTTTTATGATTTTGAAATCTAAGCTTAATTAAAAAAAAAACAACGAGAACACACACACACACACACACACACACACACACACACACACACACACACGTCATAGTGGCATAGTCCTGTAATCCCAGCTCTTGGGGGGCTGAGTTAGGAAAATAAAGAATGCAAGGCCAACCTCAACTACTAACCTAGGGTATATTTCTGTTTCAAAAAGTAAAATAAAAGTTTGAAAAGAAAGTAAAAACACCATGTCAAGTCCAAGCTGTGATAAGATAGCTGAGATCTTTGGGAGGGAGAGTTAGCTTCTTGGAGGTCAGGGTGGAACAGTCCAGTGTCTGCAGTGTATTGTCCTGGGTAGGAAGGGAGGCACATGACTCAGCCCTGTTCTGAGAAGGGCTGATGATTCTAAAGCCCCATATAAGTGATAGACATAATAGTTCTGCTATTTTGCCCCAATTCAGAATGACCTGATTGTAGGGATACATAGTGATGTTATGAGAAACAATGTGAAATCACTTGGAACAAGTACTTTGCAGTTTGCTTAACAAAGTATCTAAACCTTGAGTGCAGTTTCTGCAGAAAATGTTTACTGAGCTGCAGTTACTGTGCCCCCCACCTCCACCCCAACAGCACCCTTTTGTATCTATGAACCCTGATTTCCTTTCTCTTAGGCAATAGTATAACTGGGTGTGTGTGTGTTTAAAATGGTGACTATTGCTGAAGAAGTGTTCCTCAGCCTTTCAAAAGCATGGCAAATAATGTCACTATCTTCATTAGCTCCCCTGGGACTATATGATGTTATCACATGCTAATTATAGCTTGTCACTACAGTGAATGTCTGAATAGAGTAAGGAGTTGAGCTTTCATGGTTCAGGAGTGCTTCTAATTTAAAGATTGTTCACTCATCCTTTTTCATTACCAAGTATTGACTGATTCATCTGAGTCTTCATAGAGAAACAAAATTAACATCCTCTTTATCCCTGTTATCCACTACAGTACCCAGTAGCCCCATGTGGTCATTTAAATTTAATCAAACACAGTTAAGTTATGATTGTTCAGTTTATTAGTCATGCTTCAAGTTCTAAGGAGCCAACTAAAGCTTGTGGTTGCCTTTTGGATAGCACAGGCCGTAGCATTTCCTTATTATAGGAAATTCTTCTGGAATCCTTGTCAACTTTCAATGGGTAGAGAGGAGTCACACAAAAGAATTTGGTTAATATGAGTACACCTCGATCAAATACCATTTGAATATATATATAAGAGCATGATAATCCTGAAGAATTCACGGTTTGCCTTTGGACTACAGCTCCAACATGTGCTGGCCTTGGATAAATTACTACCTTTCTGATGCTTTTATCTTCTAAGCGGGCATGGTCGCAGCACCAACTTCCTAGGGTAGATATCGGGAATGAGATCATTCATGGAGGGTATGTGCAGTGTTGGATGTGTAATCAATAGAAGTCAGCTATTACTCTAGCAGCATGTGTTAGTGTAATCAAAGTTTTCTTTTCAAAAACAGTATCCCCGAACTGGACACTTGTGGCCCATTTCTATAATCCCAGAATTTAGGGAGGGAGAGACAGGAGGATTGTTAGCTCCAGGCCAGCCTGCCATACGTGATAAAATCCTATCTCTAATTAATAAAATTAATTCATTTGTAAAATTTAATTTATTAATGAAAGTGAAATGGTCTCCATAGCACCTCTCCTTGTACCTGGTTAGTTGCAAGTGATTGGTAAGTGATGAACGGTTTGGGGCTGAGGGCCTGTGAGAAATGTGAAGACTGCCTCTTCTTTCTCTAATGAAGGGGCGAAGTGATGGTGGGGTAGTTTAAGCCCTCTTGTCATGTCCTTTTTTTGTGACAAATCATCTTTATATATGGAGACTTTTGTGTAAATTAGAGAGGCAGGGAGCTCTTTGAGCCTAAAAGGGAGAAGCGGAGAGCGAGTCATTTCAGTTGCTCTGCCCTACACACACACACACACACAAATAAGAAATGACTTAGGCTCAGTTAGGCTCACTGAAATATTGTCACGGATGTATAATTTCCGGGCCAAGATGTTTGAGTTGTAACTCGTGCACTGGATGAAAAGTTGAGGCTACAGCCACCAAGCAAGTTCCCTCTTGTAGTGATAGTATTTAGAACTATTTTCCTATGTCTAGCTCAGAGAGAAAGACATGCTCACATGCTCTCTCACCCTGCACTTGGGCTGGTTGACACAGGCTGTGAGTGACACCAATAACAACTGTGGACGTCTGTAGGTGGTCCTCTACGTCTAAAAAGGTTAAAGAGATCCTAATTAGCAGGGTTGAAGGCAGCAGCCCATTTTCACAAGCTGGGGTCATTAGTCTACCCAATAGACTCTATCGGGTCACTAAGATACCATCTTGACTTTGAGAAAACATGAAAGAAGTCAGATGTGGCGCCATACACCTGTAAGCCCAGCACGGGGGAATCTGAGCTTTAAGATGGCAAGGGTCCATATGCTTGGTTTTATGGTTACTGCATACTCAACTTTATAAGAAACTACCACGCCGGGCGGTGGTGGCGCACGCCTTTAATCCCAGCACTCGGGAGGCAGAGCCAGGCAGATCTCTGTGAGTTTGAGGCCAGCCTGGGCTACCACCGCCTGGCATCATTTTATAGTCTTACCTATATGTATACATTATGAAAGATAGATGAGAATATATTAAATAAATGTAATAAAGTGTGTGATACATTTCTTTGCTATGTTGTAATTTCTTGGTTGCTTCAACTGCCACCTCAAGTTAAACTGTTACTTTTGCAATCCGTGGCTGGATCGATGGCTCCGCAGTTAAGAGCACTTCCTGCTCTTCCCAAGGACCTGAGTCTGGTCCCCAGCATTCAAATCCTTGGCTCACAACTGCCTGAAACTCCAGCTCAAGGGAACCCAAAGTCTTCTTCTGGCCTCTGTGGGCACCAGCACATATGTGGCCTACAAAGACTCACATACACACACAATACACACATATATACACACATACATCCATTCTTAAAATTGGCGTTCCTGTTTTGTTCACCTTGGTGTTCTCGGTGTCTTGACACAACGCTTGAATAAATGAACAAAGAGCCAAATCAGATTGAAATCAAGCTGCTAAGGAGGCGCACACCTTTTATCCCAGCACTTGGAAGGCAGAGCCTGGTGGATCTCTGTGAGTTCGAGGCCAGCCTGAGCTACAGAGCAAGATCCAGGACAGGCACCAAAACTTCATAGAGAAACCCTGTCTTGAAAAAACAAACAAACAAACAAACAAACAAATAAATAAATAAACAAACAAACAAAAAAACCCTGTCAATAAATTATACCTAAGTTTGATCTGTTGCCTTGATTCTTCTTCTGGTACAATAGTTTTTTTCCAACCTAAAATTAGCTTACTTGTGAGAAAATTAATTTAAAAACTAAGCACTGGATGATGTTGGTTTAATGCTATTTGTTTTTCTATTTTGAAAAGTACAGAATACATGTTCAATACCAGACAGTTATCAAAATGATGATAGGACGGTGCTCATGAATATCTTTAAAATATGTTGATAAAAACAGAAAATAGGTAGAGAATGCTACTACTTGGTAAAAATACAAAAGAGGTCACTTAAAGGATAGAAGACATTTTAACCCTCCCTAAGTTACTTTATAAAGTACAAAATATACCTGAATTATGTTTGGCCAGAAAGTAAGAAAGTACTCTATGTATAGCAACAAGCCAGAGGTCATAGGAACCAGAGTAAAATACCATGAATAAACTCACAAAACAGAGTGAGAAGACATGAGCCCAAAATGGTGCATACAAATGAAATAAAGACTAATTAGAGGGAGGGAAGTTCTTCACAAAAGAATAGTAAAATTAAGTGGTCACCATTTTACAAACACTACAGCAAATCATTGGCTCAGAACGGTGTCCCCAACAGAAGTGGAAAACACAGATGCATCACACAGTCTCAAAGGATCAATTCTGCTAGGTATAGTTGCCTTTCCCGATATTTATTGGTGACATGTGTAATTACAATCGATAATTATGTTGGACACCTTCACCAAGTGGTCAAACTTACCATTTACTCTCCTCTTAATATTCTCCCAGGTGATCCAGAATAATTTTCTCCACCACAAGATGTAAAGTTATTTTGCTTTGTAAGGTGATGTCCTAGTTAGGGTTACTACTGCTATGATGAAACACCATAACCAAAAGCAAGTTGGGGAGGAAATGGTTTATTTGGCTTATACTTCCACATCATAGTCCATCACTGAAAGAAGTCAAGGCAGGAACTTAAATAGCCTGGAGGTGAGAACTGATGCAGAATCCATCCTGGTGCTGGGTCAAGCTGCTGATTATTGGCTTGCTCCTCACTGATTGCTCAGCCTGCTTTCTTGTAGAACTCAGGACTACCAGCTCAGGGGTATGGGCCTTCTTACATCAACCCCTAATTAAGAAAATGCCCTATAGGCTTCCCTATGACCTGATCTGAT